ATCAAAAATATCGCTACATAGATTAACCTTTCCAAATCCCTTGTAAATAGTCAAAATAACTATCATTATATTTTGAGTGGCAGATTCTAATGAACATGGCTCAGAACAATTCATGAGCTGTTTGCCAAAGTTTTAAGCAGTGTGCATTAAATTAACAATCAGATATATTATTCACAGTAGTATGAAGCCATTAACCTGAAGGTTCAGATTTCTCTACAAATAGAACTTTTCTTACCATCATAGTCTTTCATATATGCCCACTGCTTAAATTCCTGTTGAAAAAAATCTAAACTTGGAGAGTGGATGTAACATGAAGGGGGGCCTGCTTGCTGGGGTTTTCTGTCCTGCCCGGTACCCCCCAGCTGTTTAGTCCCAGAGAAAAATCACACATAGGTCTCCATAAATTATAAACTGATTGGCCCATTAGCTCTAGCCTCTCACCGGCTAACTCTCACATCTTGATTAACCCATTTTTTCTGATCTATGTTAGCCATGCGGCTCAAGACGGGGAAGTGGTGCGGGAGAATTGTTTGTATTCTGTCAATCATGTTATAAATAAATGCTGATTGGCCAGGTAGAAAATGTAGGTGGGAAAACCAGACAGTAAGCAGAAATGATGAAATGAGAACAGGAGAATTCTGGGAAGGAGGAAGTTGATTCCTCCCACTCCTGCTCAGACTACCTAAGTAGCAGGATGTCATCTGCCCCACTGAAAAAAGGTACTGAGCCGCATGGCTAACATAGATCAGAAAAATGGTTTAATCAAGATGTGAGAGTTAGCCAGTGAGAGGCTAGAGCTAATGGGCCAATCAGCTTATAATTTATGGAGACCTATGTGTGATTTTATTTGGGGCTAAACAGTTGTGGGGAACTGGGCGGGACAGGAACCCCAACAAGCAGGCCTGTCCCTTCATGTTACAAGTGGAGAGAAGATATGCTAATAGTTATCAAGCACATAAAAAGATGCACAAAATCATAGACATAAAATTGTTCGGCTCCTATGCAAAGCACTAACAAGTCCTTTAAAAAGCAAAATACCAAGTTAACATGTGACCCTGCAATTTAATTCCTAGATATATAGTGAAAAGGGGGAGGAGAGCTAAGCAGGTAAGAATGCTTGCCTCAAAAGCATGAGAACCTTAGTTCAAAGCTCCAGAAGCCACATAAAAGCTGGGCGTAAACATATGTGTCTGTAATCCCAAAACTGTGGGCAGTGGATGGACACAGGAGGACTTCTGAACCTTGTTGTCTGGAAGCCTAGCTCCAAGTTCAATGAGAGAATTGGAATAAGGTAGAGTGACAGAGAAGGACACTGGGCATCCTCTTCTGACATCCATGTGCACACTCACACAAATGGAAACATATATCTCACACCTATACAGCACCCATGTAATAATCAAATTTTCATGAAGTGAAACTGGGATGCAAACGAGTACACACACACACACTAGTAACAAGCACTGAAAGGTAGAGACAGCTCAAGTGCTTATCATGGATGTGTCGATGCAAAAACACAGCTCTCACTTCAAAAGAAATAAAAAATAGTTTATTCTGGAGTGTAATATCAATGGCCACAGACCAAGAATATCAATTTTTGTTACCTTAAATGCCAAGTTACAACATGGTAACATTTCCATAAAGTTATTGGAATAACACAACAGAGAAAGTCATAAATCCATTTGCATGCAAAATTCAAGATGTCATTCTTTTTCACCTCTGAGTAGTACTCTAATGTGTATATATTCCACACTTTCTTTATCCATTCTTCCATTGAGGGGCATCTAGGTTGTTTCCAGGTTCTGGCTATTACAAATAATGCTGCTATGAACATAGTTGAACAAATGCTTTTGTAGTATGATAGGGCATCTCTTGGGTATATTCCCAAGAGTGGTATTGCTGGATCCTGGGGTAGGTTGATCCCGAATTTCCTGAGAAACTGTCACAGATTTCCAAAGTGGTTGCACAAGGGTGGATATGGGAGCAGGGAAGTATATATCTTAATTAAGGGAGCCATTTTAGGGTTGGCAAGAGACTTGACTCTAGAGGGGTTGCCAGGTGTCCAAGGAGCTGTCCCCAGCTTGTTCCTTGGGCAGCTGAAGAGAGGGTGTCTAAACTGGCCCTATCCTATAGCCACACTGATGAATATCTTGCATATCACCATAGAACCTTCATCTGGCGATGGATGGAGATAGAGACAGAGACCCACATTGGAGCACTGGACTGAGCTTCCAATGTCCAAATGAGGAGCAGAAGGAGGGAGAAGATGAGCAAGGAAGTCAGGACCGCGAGGTGTGTGCCCAACCACTGAAACAGTGGGGCTGATCTAATGGGAGCTCACCAAGGCCAGCTGGACTGGGACTGATGGAGCATGTGATCAAACCGGACTCTCTGAACGTGGCAGACAATGAGGGCTGACTGAGAAGCTAAGGACAATGGCACTGGGTTTTGATTCTACTGCATGTACTGGCTTTGTGGGAGCATAGTCTGTTTGGATGTTCACCTTCCTAGACCTGGATGGAGGGGGGAGGACCTTGGACTTCCCACAAGGCAGGGAACCCTGACTGTTCTTTGGACTGGAGAGGGAGGGGGAGGAGAAGGGGGAGAGGAGGGAAATAGGAGGAGGGGAGGAGGTGGGAATTTTTAATAATAATAATAATAATAATAATAATAATAATAATAATAATAGAATAAATAAATCATGCCCAGTAGTGAAAACTAGAGCTAGTGAAGTCATGAAACTTGGAGAATTTGCAACCACCGTTTTATTAAACCAATAACCCTTAACTACATTTCAGATATTTGTCCTTATATCCACAGATAAGTGGAGTTCCCATCCATCATCAAAGAAAATTGTATTTGCAACAGATGGAGACCATTACAGAAGACCACAACCAATCAACATGCAGAATTTGGGGGCCGACTTCCCATGGATTCATTTACAACCATAAGTCCTGCACCTAAGGATCATGGGGGACGAAGGGACAGACACATTGTTAAGAGCCAGAATATCAGAAAGTTTATTTTGATTGTTTCACCTAGTAATGTCAAAAGCTACACCCATCAAGTCTTACCAACATGAATGCCTACACATGAACTGAACAAGGACAACAGCAACAGACATGTGAAAGTGAACAGGATAAAAGTCACAAGTCCCAACCTACCCAAATAACTACAGGCAACTATGGAATGTTGAGAGCAGGAGAAATCGTCTTCCCCAGGGAATAGCACATCAGTTGGTTATCCAATACCAACTGGTCAGCCCTGAGAGCAAATATATGAGTAGCACCATACAGACTGAGCAGCTTAGTTCAAGGACTATACATGTATATACATATATGCACATAACAACAATTAATGAATGAAACAAGAAGCCACGATTTTAAAAGAGACTAAGTGGGGTATGTGGAAGGGTTTGGAGGGAAGGAATAAATGTTTTTAATTATATTGCAATCTCAAAAATAAAAGAAATAATAAAAAAGTAAATTGTTCAGTAGCATTAACAACTGAGCCTTCACCAGGAAGCTTCAAAGAATCAAAGAGTATATTTGAACTTGAACTAGAAATGGTTTACTTACAACTAAAGAGGATGAACAGTAAAAACAGACTGATGATGTCAGATACTGATGATGAAATGGATTCATAAATACAGGTGAATTTGGTGCATCAGCTAAGTTCAAAAACTAAAATTTTGAAGCAATGATTTTGAAAGGAAAACATTTAAAATCTAATTTTATCTAAATCACTTCTTCAAGGTAAACTGAAAAGTTGACAATATAAAGAATATGGCTGTAGTTTCTAATATTTCAAATTTACATGAAAGTTAAGAAATAGCCAAAGAATTCCTACTGTGCCCTTTAACATTATATAAAAAATATACAGTTTCTTCATTTTCTCTGTGTAGTACATATGAACATGTAAACATATAGAATTATTTTGTTTTTTGGGGGGGGATTTTTTTAGACAGTCTCATGTATGCCGGATTTGCCTATATAAGCTATATAGTCAACAATGATCTTGAACCTGTGATTCTCCTGCTTCTATCTTCACGTACTGGGATTATACACATGCACTGCCATATTCCACTGGACACAAAGTATTACTATAGAGCATAGCATAATTTCAAGATCATAGGCCAAATCTCAGATTCTTAAATTCTGCGATTATATGCATGTGCTATCATATCCACAACAAATAGTTTTTTCTTGATAATGTATTGCAGACATTATAATCACTTTCCTCCTAAATATTTTAGTGTGCATTTCTCAGAAAACATATTCTTTTGAATAACAGTACAGAAATAATAATCAAATAATAAAATAATAATAGTAAAATAATAATAAAATCAGAACTGATGTTTTAATTTGAAACAATACTAATATCCACTATCTACATTCAAAGTGTCAATTTTCTCTAAAACCCCCTTTATACGTCCTTCTCTCATCTCCCTGTTCACTGTCCAGTCCAATATTACACATGGTGCATTATAACACTCCCTAGTTCATATTTTACATTGCTAGAAAGCATACTGACATACAAGTCTCTTTTGCTCTCTCCAAATATGTATGTGTTGCCTTAGTGACTGTGAAGAGACATCATGACCATAGCAACTCTTAGAAAACAAAGCATTTAATTGGGGCTCTCTTCCATACTCCTACGAGTATGTTCCATTAAGCAGGGCTTATTCCACGCAAAGAACCAAAGTCTGAGTTCTGCAAACAAAAACATGTTCAGGCCTATCACAGCAGTACTCAAGTCCCTGGTAATAACTCCTGACTTAGGGTTTCTATTGCCGTCTGACACTCCTTTGCCGTGCTCTTGTCTTGAAAACCTGAATTCAACTTTGAATACTTCAGGCTCATGTTTAAATGACAGTGCTTTAAGAAGAGAAAGAAAAAACGTGCTGCACTTCTCCTGTTACCTGAAGACATAATAGGTGTACATATATTAAATATATTCTTACAACTGTCCAGGTCATGTTTACTTAATGTGTGGGTATTTTGCATGGTGATATTTAATAAAGACTAACATGAGTAGAAGGTTGTTGATTTAAGACAAGTTTGAGATCCACTAAAATCAGTTGTATGTTTGTCCTTCTGGGGGTCATGGAAGCTTCATATTTTCTTTGGACATCATTAGACGTCTTAGCTCTTGGAGGACAACTTTAATGCTATAGGAATTTTGCCATTTTGCTAATACTGGTATGCTTCGTGCATCCACCATTCTACTGGAATTATTGATCCCATTCATATTAATTTTTGTTACAAATCTAATGAATGGAGGAGCTTCTGGGTATTTAGATCCACATTCTACCTTCAGACTATATATTCTGTTTTCATAGTTTGTCCTTGGTGGCCCAATAATCATGCCTGTCCACCTTGTAAATGTCATGTCTTCATCATCTTCAAGGCCCCAGCTAACCATACCATCACCTACTCCTTTCTGTCCATCAAGTTCTTCCAACAAGCAAAAATTCTGAGGAACTTTAACTCCTGTGGAGACCGCCATCTTCTCCTGCTACCACGCCAGGACAGCTCTTATAAAGGAAAACATTTAATTGGGGTGGCTCACTTACTGTTCATTATCATCATGGTGGGACATGGCTGTGTGCAGGCAGACATGGTGCTGGAGAAATAGCTGAGAGTCAGTCCTGCATCTTACAGGAAACAAGAAGTGGTCCGCCACTGGGCCTTATATTGAGCATATATGAGTCCTCAAAGCCTGCCTCCACAGTGACACATTTCTTCAACAAGGCCACACCTACTCCAACAAGGGCACACCTCCTAATAATGCCACTCCCTTTGGGGGCCATTTCTTTTCAAACCACTACAACCACTGAAACGGTAAACCAGCCTCAACTGTGAGGACTACCTCAAGAAGTTTCAGAGGAGAAGAATATTAATATGTGGCCTAGAGATCATTCTGCAGATATTTTGGTGAAGAACGTGGCTGCCTTTTGCCTAAGTCTGCCTAAGGCTAAAGTGAAGAGTTTCAGATTAATTTTACTGGCAAGGAAAAATCTCAAAATGGCCTAGGATAGACTCTGTTATGTAGTTACTAGGTTTAACTCTAATGAAGATTTATAATGAAAAGGAGCAAGCTGAGCAGGGTAAATTACCAAATGTAAAATTTAAGGAGAAAAGGAGTACCAAAAAGTAGGATGTGTTCAAGGAGATAAACAGATTAATAAGTGCGATAAAAGGAACGGTGACCTCAGTACAACAACACCCCCCAGCGAAGTTTCCAACATATGAAAAAAATTAAAGAAAAGATTAGAGCCAGGGATGTTGGCACACACCTTTAATCCCAGCACTCGGAAGGCAGAGGCTGGCAGATCCCTGACTATGAGGACAGCCTGGTCTACAGAGCAAGTTCTAGAACTTAGAACTTAGAAGCTTAGGCCATGAAGAAAATCATGGAAAACAGAAAGCTGGTGAAGATGTAATTGAATGAGGTGGCCATATTTTAGCCCCAGCAAACAGCAGAAATTGGAAGCTTGAAACACATGGTTCTGGTTTTGGAATCAAGGATAGAAGAAAGGAGTTATGGTATTTGCTTCCATGCCTAAGGAAAGCTGTCCAGGCATGTGTCAGAGGTGTCCCTGAATGAAGGCCCATGGGGCCATTTCATGAAGCTATGAAGGTGAAGCCTGGATTGTCTTGGAAACCTCAAGATACTAGAAATGCCAGAGTCATGGGTTACCTGCCAAGGACAGCTGCTAACAGAGAGTGGAACCAGCCCAAGGGAAAGAAATGCATTATAGTCAACAAAGCTGAAAGGAGTTGGAGATCCGGAGCGCATTTTTGACAACAGACATGGAAATGGAGAGTTTGGAGTTTGCCCAGCTGGTTTTCAGTCTTGCTATGGTTCAGTATTTCCTCACTTATGCTCCCTTTCCTGTGTCTTAGAATGGTCATGTATATCCTATGTCCATTATATGTTAGAAGTATGAGATCGGCTTTTTGATTTTGATTTTACAGGTGATTAGAGTTAAGAGATTTTATGAATCTCAGAAGAGACTTAGAACTTTAGACTTTAAATAAGTTTGAGAGTGTTACACACTTTGTGGACTTTTGAGGTTGGAGTGAACGCATTTTGCATTATGATATGAGTCCAAGCCTTTGGGGCCCAGGGAGTGGAATGTGGAAAATGCCCTATGCAAAGGGAGTGGCACTATTAGGAGATGTGGTCTTGCTGGAGGAAGTGTATCACTGTGGAGATAGGCTTTGAAGTCTCATACATGTTCAAGATACCACCTAGTGTCAGACCACTTCCTTTTGCCTGCAAGGGGTAGGACTCTCAGCTACTTCTCCAGGACCATATCTGCCTGCTTCCTGACATGTCCCACCATGATGATAATGCACTGAACCTCTGAACTGTAAACAAGTCACCCTAATTAAATGCTTTCCTTTGTAATAATTACTGTGATCACGGTGTCTTTTCATAGCAATAGAAACCCTAACGAAGACAAAGGTATAGTCCATTATCCATTCATGCCAGGAACCATGGAAGCACACAGGCAAACATGGTGGTGAAGAAATAACTGAAAATTCTACATTCAGATCTTCCCGCAGCAGGAAGAGAAAGACTCTGAGCCTTGCATGGGCTTCTGAAACCTCAAAGTTTACCCCCAGTGACATACTTCCTCCAACAAGGCCACACCTACTACAAGGTCACACCTCCTAATCCCTCTCAAGTAGTGCCACTCCCTGTAGCCAGAGGCTTTTCTGTCCTGCTCACCAGTTCCACAGTTGCTTACAAAATAATCACTCAGAGGCTATATATTAATTATAAATGCTTGGCTGATGGCTCAGACTTATTATTGGCTAGTTCTTATATAATATATACTAATATATATGTTTATATATATAATTAACTCATTTCTATTAATGTGTGTATCACCATGTGATGATGCTCTGATATCTTTATCCTTTGGCAGCTGCTGGCATCTCCCTTTATTCAGTTTGGCTTTTTCACCTCACTCTATTCTACTTGGCTAGTGGCCAAATCATCTTCATCTTTATTCATTAACCAATAAAAACAACACATATTTGCAGTGTACAGAAGAACATCCCACATCATTCCCCCTTTTCTGTCTAATTAAAAAGTAAGGTTTTAACTTTAACATTGTAAAATTACATATAACAAAAGTTACTAAGTAAGAATTAGTTCCAATATCCAGTCTATTTGTATTTGACAAAATTAAGGAAAATATTCTATCGTCTATTTTGTCTTCATGAGTCTAAAGTTTTATATCTAATTTATCTTTTATCATAACGAAGGAAAATTATAATTATAACTATCTAGTCTTCAACTCCATCATGGACCCCATAAGGATTTAAAATACCTGAGTAAACAGTAAGTGCATTGTAAGCAACTTCTAAAACTCTAGAAGTGACAGAGACACCTGACTGTTTGGTAAAGAGCTGGTTGGCCATGTGTGGCAGTAGGCCTCAGCTCAGTCATTTGGGATCAGACCACGTTGGGTTCCAGGTGAAGTGATAACTCACAAAAATCTATTTAACAATTTATTAAGGGGTAAAATTGAAAAACAAACTCACAAATACAGAACAAAATAGACACCATTGCTCACCCAGCTGCTGGTGTTCTGCCATTCTATCGAAGGGTAAAGAGGACCAAGTGCTTCTCCACTGCTTGCACTGGTTCTAAGCATCCAAGAGAGAGACTGGACAACCCTCCCCTCAGTTTTATCTGGTCATGTATTCAGAGAAAACCAAACCATGCCCATAGGTCTTGTTACCCCAAATGCCATTGGTTAAATGAATCGAGCTCTCACAACAACTCCCTAACGACCAATCATTAAAATGAATGAGATTATGTGATGTGGGATTCTCCTTTGCCTGCTGTGATTACCATTAAGGAATAAAGAAACTGCTTTGGCGTATATCAAGGCAGAACTTAGTTAAGCTGTGGGGGGACTATACTGAATACTGGGAAAAAGAAGGCAGAATCAAGAAGCCATGTAGCCCCACCAGAGATAGACACCATAAGTTTGCCCAGTAAGCCACAGCCTCATGGTGATACACAGATTAATGGAGATGAATTAATTAAGATATGAGTTAGCCAGAAATACGTTTAAGCTATTGGCCAAGCAGTATTGCAAAATATGGTTTCTGTGTGATTATTTCGGGGCTGAGCAGTCGGGAACAAACAAGCAGGCTTTTACAACAAGTATGTGGGCCATTTTTATTCAAACTACTACATGCATATACAAAGAACACTGTATCTATGGATTCCATGTGGAGTCAATCCACTTTGAACCAGAAATATTCACTGAAATTGCATCTGTATCAAACTTATGCACACTTTTCCCTTGTCATTGCTAAACAATACAAAGGAAGAACTAATTACATAGGACTTAAATTATACTATGTACTGTAAGAATTCTAGAGATGATTTAAAGTATAAACAATGGCATGCATAGGTTTGTATGAATTCTGTACTATTTCATATACAAGAGATAACAAAATATGTAGACATTCGTATCCATAAGGGGCCTACAGTCAACAACTTACAGATACTAATGATAACTTTATACATATGCATTTATATGTATAATTTTCTTAACATAGAAATACAATGAACATGAATTATATGTAAATAAGGATATGGATAAGAAATCAGAAATATATAGCCACCACACTTAGTGAAATAACAGTCAAACAAAATTTTGTGGCTTCAGGTTCGGATACCTGATAACAGAAAGAAAGACTGAGCTATAACAAAGGGGTTAATCCAATATGTGGAACATGCTGTAGAGAGAGTAAACTATGGTAAATGGCAGCCATATTTATTCAAAGAATACAAAGGAAAAATAAAATTCAACTGAGGAAATTAAGACATCTAAGTCCGGCACTTGGCTATCATCATGCTAAAATAATGGTAGCATATAATATAGAGAGCATATGGCAGCATTATAAAGCACTAAAAAGTTTAGTTCAAGATATAATGCGGTGGTACACAATTTTAATCCCAACACTTGGAGATAAAAGTAGGAAGGTTTGAATTCAAGGACATTCTCCAACTTTAGTGAGTTCAAGACCAGTCTGAGGCACATGATACCCCATTAAGAAATATGGATTCTATCTTACCAAAAGCAATCTACAGATTCAGTGCAATCCCCATTAAAATGACATATGTATAATGAACAATATTCAACTTCATATTGAAAAACAAAACAAGATAGCTAAAACAATCCTGAATAATAAAAGAACTTCTGGAGGTAACACCATCCCTGATTTCAAGCTGTACTAGAGAGCTATTATAATAACAACTGCACAGTATTGGTATAAAAACAGAGAGGTTGATCAATGGAATTGAATCTAAGACCCAGAAGCAAATCTACATACCTATGGACATCCATTTTTTGATAAAGAAGCCAGAAATATACATTGGAAAATGAAAGAGTCTTTAACAAATGGTGCTGATCTGACTGTATATCCACACATATAAAAATGTAAATGAGACATATTTATCATCCTGCACTA